ATCCAGACCTGTCTGGAATGAAATTAGGAAACATTTCTATACATGAAGGGTGGTAAATATTAGAAACTTTTGCAAATGGAGGGTCATGTTATATATTCATTGTAAATTATACACTGTGATACATTTTTGTTAGTGCAAGGTATTAAGGTATATAGGGTAAAAGTGAGCTTGTGGAGCGAGGTTGCAGCTCAGTTGCTATCTCATTTGAATGGTGAAACATACTTGAGGGGCTGAGTGGCTTACTGTTGTTCCTCTGCTCCAAAAAAAGGTGGCAATAGTAAATTGGTCTAACAGGAACTATATGTAATTATGGGATTGCTTTATTGAAGGATCTACATAAGTTACAGGTGAAAGCTGATGCAAGTTTCGAATGAGGGACTCACGGCATATTTAGTAACTCTGCCGTAACACACATCTTTACTTATGTTAAAGTTTGGATACTTAGTGAGTTCTGATTCAAAGGTGGATATGGCAAGGGTGGGAAACAGTTGGTCTCTAAAATCACTAGCGCAAATCAATGTTTTAAGCACATTGTCTCACATTTCAAGTCAAACTCCTTTAATTGCCTAAATGCAACAGTGAATTGTACCAACTTAAGTAAAAAAAACTAAATTCATAATGCAAAAGTTAAATATACATATACACTTCGTGCACGAATACTAAAGTAGGGCAGTTATAATAGTTATTGTTTTTGATTCTCTTTTCAGTAATGTTACTTCATTAATGCATAATCTGCTCTTTGTTTACCAAGCTTGATATAACAGCACTGCTGTCAAGTTTTGTGACTCAAAATAATTGAAATGCTTTAATAATTCAATTTCAGCTAGTGCATATTACTGTACTGTGCAAGATTTCAATATAAACATGTTTATATTTTGATGAGGAGTTTTTGTTTTTGTACAGAACAGTTTTCTTCAGAAAAATGTCAATTTTTTTATTGATCTGTGTCCTTGCCTTCTCTGTTTCTATTCACCTCTTTTGTAGGTCAGCTGAATTGTGAATTCATTGTAACTTGACAAACAGTGCTCACAATTCATTTTTATGGGGGAAGGGGAGGAGAATTTGTCTGTCTTCCAGCATATCTGGATTAACAGAATCACAGCCAGCTTTTTTTTGTCTTGTTTAAACACATATGGCAGGCAGATTGTAATGTCAGATGAGAGTTGAATTTTAGGCTGTGAATAGACATTGGCTGTTTCTTCTGAAGAATTACAATTTGTTATAATTTACCTTATGCTTTCTCAAATTCAGAGTGTCACTTGGAAGTCAAACTAGGGAATAAATCTTTAAGTCCTGCCAAGTGGGATTTTTTCTGTTTGTATTATGTTTGGGATAATTGCAAGTGCACTTTTCTCCTGATCAATAATCATTTCAAAGAAGTGTAAATGTCAGTTGTTTGTAGTAAGAAATAGTTCACAGTTATGCTTGCTTGAGTTTTCTCCAAATGTTTCAGTTTCTGCAATGAGCCTTCCTGAATGTTGGACTGCAGTCTGTTTCATGGTTTGAGTTCTGTTTATCCCAATGGCTTCTGAGAAAAAAATTAGTCAAATCTATCATGTGGTACACTCCCCTGTTTATTGTCAAGACTATTTATTACTACCTCAATGTATGACCTGCTTGCATCCTACTGAATTTTTTAACTACATCGACATTAAGGCTGTAGTCACTTTTTTTTGGACTCCTTGCCAGCTGCCATTATCAATGGGAGCCTTCAGTGAGATTTATCGGTTTACTCAAACCTCAGGGGTGTGGTGGGAATGATCAACATTCCTGAACCCAATTAGCTCCTTTTCCACTGACTATGCTGTTGCTCATCCATCAACAACTTTTCAATTGTGACCAAAATGGAAATCCTGCTATGTATTTTCCCATATTAACTAAATTTATTTTAGTGTCCTATTTACTGTCTTTGGCTGCAATCAGCCAACCAACCATTAAGTGACCAACAACTTAAGTTGTAATACTCTTCTATGCATGTCTTAAACAACTCAATAACACTCTTGTGAATATTAAATAACAGAAAAATGTTTTAGAAGGAGCTCAAGTTGTAAAATTTGCAAACTGATATGTAAATCAGACTTGTGAAAGTTATCTAGACTTAAGACAACCAGATTATAGATTTGTAAATAAAGGAATGTTTCCTGAGGATGAATAAAATATTTAGTTATCTGAACAATCTATACGAAGAAATAGTCATCATTTGTATCCCACCTACAGGATGTGGTTTTACTTTGTCAATGCAGTCACCTAAAATAGACTGGAAGCATGAATGAACAATAAGTCTGTTGTTCATCTGAAGGGTCCTATTTCAGCAGTCCTTAAGGGTTTATTAAATCAGTATTGCTGTTTCTTGCTAAACTTATTGAACTTGCACTCACTGTTGTACACTGATGTTCATAAATTAGTTACTTCACTTTTTTTGCAGTAAAGTTATAACGTATTCTCACAAACAATTAGAGACTACAACTTGACCTATGTATTGAAACAAAGTGTGCAGAAATAGTTTTAACCCTTAAATGATTTAGTGGAAAAAGAAACATAAGATCTGGTATGTTCTATTCAACTTAAATTTTTAATAAGTAGGCTACTCTCTAGTTTTTAATCTGGTAAGAACATTCAGATGTGCTTGGGTTGTGGAAGGATTCAATTACTTCTATTGTCTTCACTTTTAAGATGGTGCATGTCATTGTAATCGTTCAGCCATGTTTCATCGGATGAAAGTCACTGTTTCACTATATGAATTCAGTGATAATTTAACAAAAATGCTTATGATTATGAGAAAATTTTGAATATCCAAAACACTTGCAATATTTTGTAACCCATACCAATCCAGGACATCCTTGTAAATACCATAGCTGTTACAGAATTTGTAGAAATTTGAGGAGAGTGCCCACAACCACCATCTGCAAGGCAGTATAGGATGGGCAATGGGTGTAGCCAGGTTAGCATTACACATTGAAACATCAAAAATAGGAGCAGGAGTAGGCAATTAGGCTCTTCGTCTTCTCCATCATTCGTTATGATCTCGGCTGATCATCCAACTTAATAGCCTGTTCCTGCTTTTTGCTCATATCCTTTGATTCCTTTAGCCCCAAGTTCTGTATCCAACTTCTTCTTGAAATCATGCAATGTTTTGGCCTTGACTGTTTTTTGTCGTAGCGAATTCCACAGGATCACCACTCTGTGGGTGAAGAAATTTCTCCTCATCTCAGTCCTAAATGGTTTACCCCATATACTTAGACTAAGACTCCACTGCCAGCAGGGACATCCTTCCTGAGTGTATCCTGTCTAGTCCTGTTAGAATATTATCATTTTTAATGAGATCCCCCCTCATTCTTCTGAACTGCAGTGAGTGTAATCCTAACTGGTTCAACCTCTCCTTATATATGGCAGTCTCACCATGTCAGGAATCAGTCTGGTTAAACCTTTGCTGCACTCCCCCTGTAGCAAGAACATCCTTCCTTCCTCATATAAGGAGACCAAACGTGCATGCAATTTTCTAGGTGTGGTCTCACCAAAGCCCTGTATAATTGCAGCAAGACAACCCAAAAACAAATTAACATTATTCATGTATCAACTTAGAACACTGTCGATATAGCATTTTATTCACACATTGGAGCAATTATTTTTAAGTACCTTGTGGACATGCATTAACAGTGGCCTGACAAGAAAGTTACATTCCTATAGCACAGGATTATAGCATCTCAATCAGAGGAAAATGATAAAAGTAGCAAAATGATGGTCTGATGAACAAATGGACTACTG